AATCGTCTAGGTCTACTATTTTGGGCTCAGGATTTTAGAGATTCACAAGGTGGGTTGTACAAGTTCAGTTGAGAACCGCTCTGTGCCCTAATCCCCCTCGAGCCAAACCCCGCCAAGGTGTCCTTAAGTAAACCATGGCTCAGACACTCGAACCCTAGCCTTGTTTAGCTCACCCTAACTTCAAGTGTTTTGCAGTGTGGGTAATTTTGGCACCCAAGCCATACTTACCGCGAAGGCGGACGGCAGTGGGTGATATTTGTGCCTCAACCTGGGAAGGGGGCCGGAGAAGGATTCCCATGACGCATCAGCCAAACCTCTGCTCGAAAAAGGGTCCCACTTCCACGAAAGGCCCCCCGCTGCCAGTGGAGCTAGAGTTTTCAAGAAAACTTCAAAAATAAGCGGACCTCCGGAGTTAAAATAAATAGCGTCGAAACAGGTAAACAATAAACAAACAAGTAGAGTAAAGAAGTAGAAATTGAAGTGGGGAGCAAGGGTTTCTCAGTGGACGTCGCAATAATGAGCGGATAGATGATGATCAATGGTGCGAGTCCAGAAAAACAGATGCCGTGGTAACAAAAAACTTCAGGGAAACCAGTTTTTCTGAGGTAACCTATCGATCAACAACTTGTACGGGACTTGACAGAAGTTTGTTGGTACCTCCTAAGTAACTCTTCTGCCTCTTTTTTCCTTTTGGGGGGCTACGAGTGACTCTTCTACCTCCTTTTTCCTTTTGGGGTGAATTCTCTTTCGGTTAGTTTTGGGGAGTCGTTTTATGTTTGGTATCGATAGCTTTTCTGTCGAACAGAGCTAGGGTTAGTTTCTTTGTCGTCGATCGATTTTCATAGATTGCGCCATGCTTCCTTTTCCCATTCATATTCGGAGAGGCATCCAAATGAATGTGCGTCCCTACAAGGACTCGGGCAGTAAAGAGGCACGCGAAGCCGACGACTACGCCTCTTTTCTAATCCTTTCAGTATCGTAGCAATTACCCAGGCGAACGAAAGGTTTAATTGGCGTGAACGGGCTCTAATCCTCAAGCCATACTGGCGCTTCTCGAGCTTCTAATATACCGGATCGGGTTATGAGATTGACACCGCTGTACGGGACTATTCGAGCTGACATCAATCACAGCTCACGTCCACAGCACGACCCCTCTTGCTCACCCTATCT